ATCGAGGGAAGCAGATGGAACTCCAGCCTTTCTTTCCTCTCAGCCCCAGATTCCAGGAAGTAAATGTTTCAGACACCTTGGAATGGTTTGGCTGGCGGCGTCAGGGGGAGTGCCACGAGAAATGCCCTTCCACGCCCGCGTGGGTGACGGCCCCTTCCTCGCATCCCTTTTGTTCTCTGACCTCCCCTCCGACATACTCAGGGCCGCCAGCTGGGCCCACCCAGCCGGCCTCCTCTGCCAGGCGTCTGTCCCGGGTCTTCCATCCAAGCGCATGATTGCTTTTGACAGGCGGGTGCCCGGGCGCTCGTCCCTCGGGGCATGGCACACATGCGGCGCTTGCATCCTCCCGCCTGCCCTCTCCCCCTCCTCACCCACCGCCGGGTCTAGAGCGCCTGGCTGCGGCTGCCACCCTCTGAAGTCCAGGCACGATCTGTGAAGCCCACCTACATGGGGGTTCCCCAAAGCCTGCTTTGAGAGGGAGGGAGACCCTTCTTCCCTCTCCCCCGCCCAGCACGGGCCTTCTCCCTTCTCCCATTGCCCCATCCGGTGGGAGCTTTGCGGAAACAAACGCTCCAGGTACCCACCAGAGAGAAATGCCTTGCTTTCCTGCATCCACCGACGGCTTCTGGGTCAGCTCCTGCAGGAGGATGGTTCCTGCAGAGGGACCGGCAGCATCTTACAGTCCCGGCATGTTCCTCTTCCCACTCCCAGCCCGTGCCTTCGTCCCAAAGGCTTTGGGGCAGGGATTTGGGCAGTCCTGTATCACAGGGGCCATCGCATCTTGTATTTGCGACAGTGGGGAGAAACACAGCTCTCAACGTCTACCTTGACTGGAGCTTCTGCGTAAGAACTGCTGGAAAGTCCAGTGGTGTCGGTCTCTGGCTGTGCAGCCAGAGGTTTGGAGTTCAAATCCCCACACTGGGCCTCCTTGACAGGGGCTGGACTGGATGAACCCGAGGGTCCCCCTTTCCAGCTCTGCCATTCTCAGATGGTGGTGGTGGTGATGATGATGCAGAGACATAGCTGGGTCCGAGGAAGAGATCCAAGCTTCAGTCTCTCCTCTGAGCTGTGGAACTCACTGGATGGGGTTGTTATTTTCCCGTGACCTAGTCTACCTCGCAAGGTGGTTGTGGGGTTCAAGTGGAGGGCAGGAAGAGGGGCCCACATCTCACCTGGAGCTCATTACCCTTAAAGTGAACAAAGAAAGACAACCGTCCGCCAGAATCCTGTTGTGTAGTTACGCCAGTGTCACTCCCCTGGCCTGCCTTTTGGTGGAAAATGTCCAGAGGTTCAACACCTTGGCCCGGGGACCCGGCATTTAGGGTCAGGATGGTGTGGATCATGGTGAACCAACAGTCGGCGTGCCGAGGGTCACGGAGGGCTAACCCTTCCTCTCCTCCCTTCCCTCCCTCAGTACATGGGTTGCGTGGAGGTGCTGCAGTCGATGCGGGCGCTGGACTTCAGCACAAGGACTCAAGTCACAAGGTGAGCCGCGTGCGTGGGTGGAGGGGACGGCTCTGCCGCGGGCGCTCTGTAACAGGTACGCAGTCGACTCTTGTGCTGTTCCCCGGGGCAGAAACAGCATAACGTGAGGTTGGGGAGGTGTTTCGTCGTGTCTCTGCATGAGTTGCTGCTCTGGAGAGGCTCGCCGTTGCTTCCTGCATGATGCCCCGTTCTGGTTCACCCTCTTCCAAGCCACGCCGCCTCTTGGCCCAGCCATGCCTGCTGTGCTTTTGCACGGGACGTGAATGGACGGTTTGCTTCTCCCAAATGCAACCCAAACGAAGCATTTGCTTGGAAGAGGCTGCCCGTTGTGACCTCCGTGTGAGTTTCCTGCCCTGAGCTTCCACATGGGGGACGTTCCTTGCGTTGCTCCCCTGCATTCATCGTATCACCCAGTCACTGTTAGTGCAGTGGGTCGGAGGGTTCCTGTTGTGTTCCAGGCTGAGCTTGTTCAGAGAAAGAAAGGGGTGCAGCCTTCCCTAAAATCCGGGGCCCTCCAGTTCCCATAATCATCTGGCTGTGGGATCATGCCCATTTTAAAATTATACAGTAGGATCTCATCGGTGAGATCAGTATCTACTGGTTAACTTCTCCGTGGTCTGAAAATATTAAAAGAAAAATCCTAGAGGTATATATTTCTAAAGGCGAAGTTATCAGAACTGGCTGTTAGAGGGAGCCAGAGACCACGCAATGTATTGCATTGACTATTAAAATAGCATTTGCTATCCGCGTTTTCCAGTATCTGTGGGGGGGGGGCTTGATATTGATTGCTCGCTGCTTCGGGAGTCCTACTATACTCAACTCCAACGCCTCAGAAGGACCTCAGCCCGGAGGAAGCAGAGCAAGGAGCGACCCCCGTTCAAATAAATGTCCTTTTTGGCCTTTCGCTGCTGAGGAAATAATTGCAGGAGAGGGAGAAAGAGGGTGTGTGTGTGTGCGCGCACTCTTGTCCATTACCGGGCAGACACGAGGTCTGGAAAGAGGTGGCCGGAGGGAGCAGCAGGAGATGGAAACCTTTAGCAGCCCGGCTCCGGCACCCCATCACTGACATGATTTTTTTAAAAAAATTAATCTGCTAAAGACAGGAAGCATTTATACAGCATCATCAAATATTAACCGGCCTCGCTCGATTCCCTAACCCCCCCCTCGCCCTCCCCCAGCAACTTGCCTTGGTCGGTCTACAGGCTCATCACGTCGTGGGGTTGGCACTGAGAATCGGGCTTTTTCTCCCATCATCCTGTCGGGGCCACGTTTCTCTGCTTGGTTCCTTCTTTCGAACCGGAGCAGTAATTCCTGAGGGTGAAATGGAGGACTTGGAAGGATGTTGGGCTCCCAAACCGCTCCCTATGTTGTTGCTTGTGGTGTCTCTGCCTGAGTGGCTGTTCTGGGGTTTGCTTTCCTGTCACTAGCCCCTTTTGGGGTGGCGGTGGGTAGGATTCTGGTCCACCCGTAGTTGCCTGGATTTCCCAGACACTCCCAGCCTGGAGCACCGATATGCAGCCAGTCTGTTGAATATCTGCTGGACTTACCCTTCCTGAATGTGAGTTGAGTCTGATTCTCGGCACCTGGCAGAGGCTCCCGGAGGCCAGGATGTATCTACAGCATCTCTGCTCCAGCCTCTAGCACAGGATAAAATCTGTTTCATGCGCGTTCTGCTTCTGTTTAACCCTGGCCACCCACGTGGGGCTTCTCTGTTCAGAGGCAGTCTACCCCTAAGAACCAGCCGCTGGATGTCACCTACCGGCAAGGATAGTGGTGCTTTCGTTCTTTGGCGGTCGGCTTCTTGGCAGCGTTCGGGGAAACGGACCGCCAGCCTGGCCCAAGCCTTCTCCCTGCTCCCTCCCCTTCCCTGCCCTGTAAACAGAGCAAGCCTAGTTAAGGATGAGTGGTGTTCGCCGTGAGCTTGATTGGCCCTCTTCCAGATGCCTTGTTTTCCACTCCACAGGGAAGCCATTGGCTTGGTGTGCGAATCCGTACCCGGTGCCAAGGGAGCCGTCCGCAGGAGAAAGGTGAGCTGCTGCTTTTGGGGGGCAGGGCAGTGGTTGAAGCACCTCGAGAGGTCCCCCTGCTTTTCTGCGTAGCCCGAGAAGATGGGTACCAAAAAGACGGATACAGTGGTGCCTCACTTAACGATTGCCCCGCATTACAACGAATCCACTTTACGATGATCTTGGTTTCAATGGGTTTTTTATTTTCGCTTTACGATGTTTTCGCTTAACGGCGATTTTCCTGGAATGGATTATCGTTGTTAAGCGAGGCACCACTGTATAAAGAAGCCTTCCTTGTCACACAAGGCAACCGTCTTCTGAAATTTGCCAGGGCTATTAAAATGGGATCAGAAAGAAAGAAAGAAAAATAACGGAGGAGGAAGAGAAGTGTCCAAGCCCCTGTATGCCGCAAGACAGCAATAGAACCTCCATATTCTGGGGCAGTCTACCTTGGAGGACCAGCGGCCACAGGGGGGAAAAGGACACTCACTTTCTAGCATCATTTAGCTCTCTGTTAGGTGGGGAGTGACCGCTGCGCTTCTCCCCAAGGGGTGTGTGTGTGTGTGGGAGTTATCAGTGAAAAGAAAGAATTTTTTTAAGTGCTGTCCTTTAAGGCAGTGTATTCTGTTAGAGTCCACGGGCCTTAACTCCCCAAATGGGGAAGGATCTGGCCTTGGGTGGGGGCCTGGCGCTGCTCTGGTGGTGGTGGTGGAAAGGCATGAAAAAGCTGCTCCCGCTGACTGAGGATGCTGGTGTCAGGGTTGGGTCAGGGGGCCAAAGCTGAGCCAGAGAGCTCTGTGTTTTTCTCAGCCCTGTCATGAGAGAGGGGTGTGTGTGTGTGTATGCAGGATCTGACCCCCCCATGCCCACCCGCTTTCCTCTTAAGATCCTCCTTTGCAGAGAAATGGAAGCCCGGCGGCTGCCATAAAGCCTCCCACAGGCAGGGTTGATCAATAGATAACCATAACGGTCTCTCTAATGGACACAGAGGAGGCGTCGGTGGCCGGGAAGGAGGGTGGGTGGGGAAGAGCAATCCTCTCCGTCTCCTCAGTTCTCCCACCCCACCCCTTTGGCCCTTCCTTGGCTCCTGTTTTCCTCCTCGGTGGCCGCTGCACCCTTGGCCTGGCCTTGCCCCGGGGCGAGCAGGCGGCGTCTCCCAATCCCCAGAGGCTAGCTGGGGCTGGGAGGGAGGCGGAGGCGAGGGCCGGAAAAGGACAGCCGAGAAGTGGCACAACATTGGTAGGACTTCCCTTTGTGCCAGACAGCAAAAGGCGTCAGAGTGGGGAAAGCTGGGGTGGACGTTGTGGGTAAAACAGGTGCCTTGCGTCTCTGCCCCGATTCGGGTCCCAGGACGGCGCTGGGAAAGACCCCCAATGTCTTAAAACCCTGGAGAGTTGATGCTGCTCAGGTCCAGCTTGATATTTCTGCTTGTCTGTGTTGGAAGACGGCTCCTCTGGCTTCCAGATTCTCCAACCCCGCCACACCTGGAAGGAAAGATAGACTGCCTCTGAACATGGAGGTTCTATTTTCATCTTATGGCAGTTTTCCCTCCGCCTGACACTGGAAGCGGCTGCTTCCTTTTGCAGCCAGTAAGCCTGTGATGTTCCACTCAGGCTGCCTGATGGTCCTCCCACCTTTTCCCGTCTGCTAACCTCCGGGTGCATCTCTTTTTCTCTCTCTCCCCCACCCCTTTCGGCAGCCCTGTGGCCGGGCCCTCAACTCCATCCTTGGCAAGAGCAACCTGAAGTTTGCCGGCATGCCAATCACCCTCACCATCTCCACCAGCAGCCTCAACCTCATGGCGTCCGACTGTAAGCAGGTGAGGGAGCCTGTTTCCCCCGCCGGGCACGGTCCGTGCCAGGCAGGGGCCCGCTGTTGGCAGGAGAAAGCGGCTTTCAACCTTCTGCTGGCTTGACAGACCTGTCAAAAGAAAGGGTGCTTCCAACGGAGGCTTGGAACATCCATCATCCTGTGTGGCGTGATTGATCAGAAGGGAGCTCATTGATCCAGCCTTGTGCATTGAGGAGCCTTTGCGTATGGGCGGGCATTTTTGAGCCTCTCTAAGTGAGACAAATGAGCTTGTTCTTTTTCTCTTGCGGTATCTAGAATTTGAGCCGGGGGTTGGCCTTGTAGGCCCTTTCCAACCTCACTTTTCTATGAGTCTATGAATTTGTGCAAAACATTTCTGTTCCACGGCCTATGAGGAGCGGTGCTCTCCCGCCTGCCTATGGTCTACGAATTTGTGCAAAACATTTCTGTTCCACAGCCTATGAGGAGCGGTGCTCTCCCTCCTGCCTATGCACAGGAAGTGCTGATGGTTCATAATGATGCCGAGAAACCCATCCAGGGCTTCGCACCCATAAACCACCGATCAGAGAGTCTCGTTTCAGGGCTGAGGGGTGTGTGCAACTGCTTGAATTATGCAGCTGTACGAAAAGAATAGCTAATTTCCTCTCCTGTAAAAAGCCATTCTTGCCCTGCCAGCGGGAAATATGTGCAGCTTTCAGGGTGAGAGATTTACGCAGCGTCTGTGTGAGAGAGAATGAAGCCGTATATGGATGTAAATGTTTCCACGTATATACCTTGACTTCCTATGGGGATGTGCATGTACTCCTGTTGCCTCTTAATTTTTCTTTTCCTCTGCTCTTAGATCATTGCCAACCACCATATGCAGTCCATCTCATTCGCTTCTGGAGGAGATCCGGTGAGTGTCCAGAGTTAGTTTGAAGTCTGAAGTCCTCGGACGACACTCTCTTCCGAGTAGAACCTGCCCGCGTGTGAGCCACCGTTCGGATTTCAAAGAAACAATGCTTAGAAGCAGCGTTTTGGTCCTTCAGCTAGCCGAAATGGGCGAGAAAGTGTAGCTGCCTTGTTTGCCAGCGTCTTGGAAAAGGGCAGGGTTTCTGAATACTGTAGGATCCCCGTATCTGCGGGATTGATATCAGCAGTTTCACTTACCTGTGGTCTGAAAATATGAAAACCACCTGAAATATGTATTTCCATGGTGTCTTCAGCAGTAGAGGTCATTAAAGGGAGCCAGATACTTCAGCAGTAGAGGTCATTAGAGGGAGCCAGATACTATGCTGCTTGTATCTGCAATTTTCAGCATCTTCAGGGGGCTTGGAATTGATCTTCCACGGATACAGGGGTCCTACTGTGAGGGAGCCAGATACTATGCTGCTTGTATCTGCAATTTTCAGCATCTTCAGGGGGCTTGGAATTGATCTTCCACGGATACAGGGGTCCTACTGTATAATGTTATCAGTGCTCAAGTGGGCTTCAAGCTTTGCTTCTCGGTTACTCGCTGGGTCGTGTGTAAATTATGCCATTTTTCTCGCTTTGCCTAATCTATGCATCTCAGAGAGTTCTACAGGCCCACTGCAGAATTGTTTTC